AAATTATGGAAATACCTAACTAAAGTTCATTCATTGACAAGCCTTACCTTTCAGTAAATTGATATTCATTCAAAAATCAACTATCTCAAAACAGGATGGAAAGCTTCATGTAATCCATAGGGTAACATCAAACTGTTGTTTACTTTATAAAGTAAAACACTAACAGCTACTTGTTGAATGTATACAGCAGGCTTTTCTTAACTACAATAAAATATCAAGATATGCTAGATGTTGTGTACAAAAATTAATTCCAACAAGTTGATAAATCAAATGAGATAAACAATTTTTGGGTTACCCAGTTTGGCTTATTTTCATTTACATTCTTTGCTGATATTGTCTCATTCCATTCTGAAGGAATTTTGGCATCCAATGAAAAGAAGATAGGACTGGTGCACTGGAATTTTAGAATAACACAATCAATGGGCTTACTAAATGCAATTGAAAATATATGAATGGCAAAAATCAAAAGTGATTAATAAAGTAGCTGGATGGCAGAGAGGTTCAAAATTTAATGCTGTTGATAAGATAATAAGGATATGCATGCACATACAAACCATACTGTATATGTATATGCTAGAATACACAGGGCAATAGGGTAATTAGGCAATGTTTGTATAGGATTTTATTTCTGAATTATACTTAAGATATTGAAAGGATTCTACACAAGATCCCTTGCAGGATTTTAGTTAAGATTTTTACAGGTGATTATACTAATATCGTGAACAAAATGATTATTATGATTACAAAAAATACATATATTAAAAAATTACTTAAATGTGGAATGTAATTGGCTACAAAAGCAATAGTTAGTTGTAATATAGAGTGAAGCAAAAATATGAAAAGGCTTGTTGTTGAAAAGAAATGTTGCCTTTTCAAATAAGTTTTAAATGCTCCTTATGTAGCTCATATGGCTACCAAGTAAGAAATCACATTACCAACCAACAATTTTTTTTAAGAATAATAAGAAAAATATTCTGAAGAAAAAGTTCAACTCAATATTTGAGAAAAGTCAGTTTTTTTATATAGTTATAATTCAAATTCATTGTAAATTCATTGTTAGACTCTATTTAAAAGCTAACTGTGGTTCTAATTATACACGTGCAATTACATCAATTCCAAGAAAGTATGAGTATGGAAGTGTGAATTTAATGGGAAGGATTTGTTGATTCTGCGGCTGTGAAATCAAATAGTGAAAATTTCTTGCTGGCTTTAAGCCCATTATTGTACCTTTTCTTCAGAGTACATATGTTTCTTATTATGCTTTTATGCTACCAAGTAATGAACATGAATTTTCCTTACCTGCATGTAAATACAAAAACTGCACAAATGCATATAATCACACCAGGATGATTGGCACAGAAAAGACCATGATGATAATAAATTCTTTCTAATAAACTTCTATCTGAAACTGCAGGATAGTCATCCTCACTAACTTCTTGCATCTGTTGCTTAATGTCTTCTTTTCTAAAACAGAAGAACATAAATAGGAATTAAACATGGGGGGTTATTGGGAGGGGTGCTAGGAGGAGAGATGCTAGAGGGGTAGCCACCAAAATCTAATTCAAAATAGCACCTCCCTCCTCTTTAACAAAACTATTCTGCACCTATCCCTGATTTCAAATTTCTGGGTGCAGAGTTAGGATTCAAATGAATCACAGCAGAGATTCAAATGGATTGCAAACTCGGTAACTCAGTAACTTCATATGAGTTTTGCCCATCAATGAAAACATTGTAATTGATATGCAGGATAAAAGCCACAAACGAGACAATAGTTATCATGTAAATTCATCACCAAAGGTGTATAGACCAAAGAAATATCAAAATGACATGATTCTTCATTTTCAAATGCTCAAAATATAGGTACAAATGCAAGCACTTGTGATACTTCAATATAATTTTTTGCTGCATTTTGCATGCAGATCATATAAATCTGGCCGCCAGATTTTAAAGATTCTAATCAATGATTTTTCAAGTGAGTTTACAATCAACATGATTGTTTCATACATATTTTACTACAATCATACCAGCTACCAAAGAAACTGACCGCTATGACCGCCTGACCGGTACAATCGTCAATTAAAACAATTGCGTTAGTTGTGTCTGCCACCAATGCTAATACTGAAATTGACGGTTGACCTATCTCTCAACGAAAAATGCCGAAAAGTGCACAATAACATTGACTTCGCGACTCATGAGTTTTGATATGAGAATGATGCAACACCTGGCCTCATACGTACCTTCTAATAAATTATTATATCGCAAAAGCCCTATCATAAAATCAAGATGTGTTCACCAGTACAAATTCTACAGGACAATGTAGAAACGTGTTGGCTATAGTAGTGACTAACAAGTGAAAACAATTGAAATCTTATAACGAGCATCACACCCACGGTTTTAGTCGGGCCGCCATTTTGGGTATTATTATATAATTATACGTGTGTTTTCTCGTGTTTTCTTTGTCAGTGTATTGTAAAATACCACAATATAGAGTGTTGAGAATGTCATTAGACCTCTGCTCAGAAAAGAGTTAATTCTTCTTCAATTAGCTCCACGCCCTCGCCGAAAAAACAAAGAACATGTTGGTTGAACGCAAAACAACATCGAGTGACATATCCAAAACAAATTTTTAAAGAAATTGTTAAAAATAGACAACGACGTGGCAACCTGCGCTACCGTACATTTGAAAAACTTGTCTAATTTTTACTTGTGACAATATGACCACGTGCATTAGTCTAATTTTCACGGAATGTAAAAAAGTATTCATCTTTGGAGGATGGGCTAATTGGGCTTTGGAGGAGTGTTACGCAATAGGGTCATGTTCGGTTCCGGAGATAAACAAACATACCGAAGCGCGCTACAAGTTACAACATAGTAAATTTGTAACACTTACATAGCGGTTTTTATTTATCTGGCATTGAAGATTTCAGCACTCGATAGAGATTGTGTGAACCTTTATTTTAGAATATATTAAACTCAGATGGCAATGAATGAATGGCTACCTTCATTACCAACGACATTGTCAAGAAGAGACATGTTTCAAGAACTGTGAAACGCCAGACAGTCAATGAAGTTGTAGATTTTTCCAGTCAGTATGGCTCAGATCTGTCAAGAAGTTATACTGTTGCTAACGTTGTGGGAGAAACCAACATTTATCCTAAATATGGTGATTTCACTCAAAGTCTTGTGTTCGTAAGTTCTGCTCTAGAAAGGCATTAAATGTAAAATTTCAGTTCGTAAATCAGGTTTTCTAATTCAATTCAATAATTGCGACCATTTTCGTGAATATCAACAATCGTATTTCCTCTAATACACGCAGGGATGTTTATTAACTTTTAAAGAAATAAGATGCGCGGTTTTTTGGAGGGAGACATGTAAATAATGTAAGAGGAGACTGTGCATAAAGAATCGAATACAGGAAAAGACAAACTGCTACTTTGTAGGCAAGAGCTAGAAATAAACAGTTTGTCATTTCTTTATCAATTTGTGCAGCATTTATTAGAGAACACACGTAATTAATTAAGGCTAAGCATGACTTAAGAAAAAAAGACAATAGAGTATGTTACTGTATGATTGTTTTCACTGAAATCTTTGGGGAGAAAGCTGGAAAACATACATAACAACCCACTGAACCCAGGTGTAAACTCAGAGTTGCAAATGCACTTGAAAGCCTTCATTTTTTGTGTTACATTTTTTGTTTTCTGCTTAGCAACTTGGGGCCACTAGAACTTGTGTCCTGACAAGTCTCCGGTTCACAATTTCCTCTCTTTGCTGTGTGGCAAATAAATTAATTCAGGAAAGTCATAGCTGCTCTATCATAAATGACACTTATACATGAAAATAATACTGGAAAGAAGTATTTGTAGCTGTAATAAATATTTGGTTCTGTTTTTACTATTGACATTAGTAATTCAGATGTCTAAATTTTCATTTCAAATAAAATAATTAAATTTTACTCTAGAGAACATATGGAAGATGGTGGAGCAGTTGTCCCTCATCACTAAAGTCATTTAAACAGTATCATCAATCTGATTTTTTAAGTCAAGATTTCATAGGTTTGTTTGACTTATGAATTTCATTGTTTAATTAAGCTTATACATTTGATAAAAGTTTTGATTCTTGAACATTCACTACTACAAGTCTCGAGCATCTGAAGGTGAGAAATCATAATGAGATGCAATTTCTTTACATGTTAACTCTCTTTGCTTTGAACGATCAAAGGTCTTGCAAATTGACCTGTGAGATACTACCCATCTTAGTTAATTTTTTTTTGAGAGAACTTATAATGAAAATAATGTGTTTTCCTTCTATTTCCAATATGTTTCTTCTGCTTTATTTTAATAGATATAAGGTATTCGTACTCTGTGTATCCGACAAAAATAGAAATATTTGAAACATATAACCCAGGAGCAGTTGTGAGGATACTTGCTTGTGACTCAGAAACCAAATATATTCCTCCTCGGTAAAGATTGATCACTTAATTCACTTTTTTTACGACATAAGATAGCTTTTCGATTTAATAGAGAAGATGAATGAATATCAATAACTTGTTTCGAAGTTTCGAACCCTACATTGTCGCTAATCTTGCAACATGGTTATCGTTGCAGTTGGATTTTATTGTGGGCTGGCTCCCCAAGGAAATGTGCAGCTAAAGCCAGAGTATTTTCACCTGTGTTAAAGAAATGTCCTTTTAAAACAAGGTATGATTTTATGTCTTATACGTACATTGTTTGTTACAAGTTACAAATACCCACTCAATTTTTCACTTTCTGATCCTTAGTTTCCATTTGTAATTTCCACCTAACTTACCTAAGAATATTTATTTAATTGACGGTCGTCAAAACCAGCAATTTTTTGTTAGTTTCTCTTTGTATAGCTGCGTATTATTTTAGACGATGTTCAACCTCGAATGCATGCTCTGAGGAAATGCTGTAACGTAAGAACCTCGTCACATTTTTAATTATTGCCCGACATGTACGAATAGTAAAATTAAGAAAAATCTACTCACTACTAACCATGGACTATAGAACTTGATTTGGTTCACCATTGATTGACGTTTGTAAGTTTGTATCCGCGAGATATAATAAGAGAGAGCCAATTTAGTTAGTCGAGTTTTGATTGCTCGATGTGTGGTCAATTCATTGTGTGGATGTATAAGAGCAGTTTATTTGACATTAAAAAAGTTTAATGAAAAATCGTGGAAGTGTATACATGAAGAAGGCATCTTAAGATTGAAGGTTATAGCTGCGTAGGGAAGACGAAAGTGGAGTTTGAAAACAATGACGTACAGAAGGAATGTGTTGAAGTCTGTAATAAAAAATACAGTTCAGTTATACCGTTTCACCAAATCACGAAATGAAAGTCAGTCATCTCCTAAAAATGGGCTTATTTTCGTGCAATAATTATGATGATGAAGAAGATGATGATTTCATTGATAACAGGAGACTAAGATTGGAGTTCAACCAAGAGCACTGCGATTACTTCACTGAGATTGACGCTGTTTATCTTCATGGTGTTGAATCCGAGATTGAATACAATTATAGTGAAGAAAAGGAAGATTCTATTGTTTCAATGACTGAGGCGTTCCATCAACGCATGTCTATGAATAGCAATCTCAATAACGAAAACTCTTATGTACGGAACGATTCAGTGAATATTTCGATGTTACCAGTAAGTTGCATGCATGAGATGAATCAGTTCAATTTAACTGTGAGAAAGTCCCGAATCATTTTCTGTAAAGTAGCATTATAATTAAATTTACGTCTTGCATATATATATTTCTAAAGTGCAATGCAAAATTTATTGCTACAACACAAACGTCAGTAACCATAGGGCAAGTTTCGGTGGTAAGTTTACCCATTTGGAATTAATTTGCAGTTGATGAGCTAGTTGTGGAAGTGAAGATCTGAAATTGCATAGACAATAAAAAATATGATTTATGTTTTTTACGTTTTAGTAATAAAAACAATTCATGGATTTTCGTTTGTGTTTTTTTTTCAGATTGAAGTATTTAATAAGATATTGTCATACCTAAGATTTTCTGAATTTGGAAATCTTTCGAAGACCTGTAGGTAAGAACATTGTCAAATAAAGTTTTCTTGTTATATATTTTGTCAATGATTTCACAAGGAGAAATTCAGTTTTTGTTTTCCATTAGCAACTCATATAATGACAAAAGCAGAATAATTGTCTGCAAAAGTTAATCTCCTCTCATTCTCATAGTGTTAAACTTTTTTCTGCCTTGCAATGCATACGATTTTACTTTCTCTAGATTCTTTCGCGATTGCTGTTATGATCCTATGTACTTTAAAGAATTTAATCTTCAACCCTATTGGTTCAAGGTTAGTGTAGATTACTATATATAACATCTCAAATCTTTTCTTTTGATATGTGTCAAATTTGGGTTGTATGAAACATATCTTAGTCTTTTATGATATTGATATACTTATAGGTAAATGGCGTGAGTCTTCAGTACTTGACTCAAAGATGTAGGTCAACCGAGAAACTTTGCATGTCATGGTGCGGTTCGGATGGGCTTTTCACGACACAGGACTTTGAACGGTAAAATAGAAAGCTTACTTCATACAGAATATTTTTTTATGGTGAGCTGATTTTAGTGCAGTTTTATTCATCTTATAACTGGTGGTATCAACTCCTGTCTAAGCTAATCGCATTTTCATGCTGTCATCTGTTCATGCAGCTTAGTTTCTGTTCGATTTTTTGTGACAACAGCTAGTGTTGCACAAATCTTGTTAATTTGTGCACATATTGTACTTATATATGAAACTTTGAGTAGGTGATTTTGATTTTAGATTTCTCAAAAACATGAACAGTGGAACACTGAGATGTCTTTATCTATCATGCTGCAGATTTCTTGATGCATCTATTTTAAAGGTGATCGTTGAAGTTTGTCCAGACCTCGAAGGTATAACATAATGCTGTATATAGTGTCTGTGGTTTGACATATGCAGAAATTTCATTGGATTTCGATACAAACAGTGCATGCAATGGCGGCGAATTCGGCGATCAAAATAGATTTTTTTAAAAATTTACCTTAATTATTTTAGTAGCAATGCTGTTGTTTTTGAATCTAAAGAATTATGCTGAGCTTACCTCTTACCAATACAAATATAATTGTATCCAAGATTGGGCTGTTGTAATTTATTTTACTAATCCTTGATGAACAACTGAGTACATATTTATATTTGATTGCCTGTTTCATGTTTGTTTTTTAGAACTGGATTTATCGTCTTGTATCCACTTACCAAGTGCTGCATTTGAAAATCTTGCAATGTTGAAAAATCTAAAAAGATTAAATCTTTATCGAACTCAGGTCACCGAAAAAGACTTAGCGATTATTGTCGAGTAAGCGGAATGGAGTTTTCGTCGTAGCATGATAGACACATGTAGCTGGCTAAATCAGTGCTTGTCATTTGATTTTGTAGATCTTGTCCAAAGTTGAAATATATCAATCTTGGTGGATGTTATCAATTTGGAAATTATGATGAGGCGATGACGCACCTGCAATATTGTCCGTAAGTTTGATTTTATTGATCACATTATTTAGTAATTTAATAATTATCTCCTTTCAAATGACTTCTTTTTTGATTGATTTCTTTCTTGCTACGTGTCTATGTGAACAACTATAGAAATATTTTTTCATTGGACTTATGGAGATCAAAATCAATAACTGCAAATGGGATAATCAGCATTATCAACCACTGTCCTAATCTTGAAGAAATTGATCTCGGTTGGTGGTAAGGAATTTTTGAATTTTTATTTTCAGTTCTGTGTACTGTCATTCTTATTATGGATGATACAATGTCGAGATTTTATAACGATAGCAAAAATGTGGCTAGTCATGGAATTATACGTCATTTGGTCACCCATTGTCAAAAGATTAAGAAGATTTTCCTGACTGCTGTAAGGTAGGGTCAAAAATGTTTTTAACCAGTTCATCAGTAAATGATTCATTATTCGTGAAGCATGTTGAAAGCATTAGTGATTACGGATTTCACATCGTAATAGCGAAATATGAGAAATAAATGTTTTCAAGTTTCATTTATGTTTAAAATTACCTACTAAATTATGAAAGCAGGCCTTCAAGAAATATTTTCTTTCTTTCAGCTAGCGATTGCAGAGTTGACAGTGACTGTTTAGTGGTATGTTATAGTACTTAAACTTTTTGTGTTTTACATTTCATTTTCTTTGTTTAGAACATTGACAGATGACGATCTTCTCGCTATTTCCGAGAACTGTTCTTTACTTGAACAGTTAGACATTTTGGGAAACTCTAATGTTTCTAAAGAGTCAGCTGAAAGGTAGGAAAAATATAATTGTTGGCCATATAATGTAGTATGCAGTTCAACAAAGTATACAAGAGCAAATTTTGTTCCATGATTTCAACTTTTTGACACTAAGATTCTTCAGCTTGGAGGAAGTACCAAACGGCAACTAATAAACGTAATTTTCACGTCAGAAGAGAATTCTATAGAAGCATTGTTATAACTAAAGGCTTTCGCAACACTTACTGCGAGTCAGTGTCCTCAAAACACCGAACTAAATCGTCTAGATGTACGCAACCCGATCAGTACTTTTGTTGTAATTATTTAAAAGTAAATCATGAGAGAAACGATTGTATGTAAGTATACTGCGCAAAAGAAACTCTAATTAAATAGCCATCATCCATTCTTCTCACGAAGTCTTTGCTTTATCTCTAATAACTTTTATGTGTGTTTGAGACTCAAGATGATTATTACCAGTGCGGAATGCTATCAACATATGTGTTTGAAATAAAATTTAGCGCTCTTTCAGCTAGAGAATGATATGGTTTTATCACATTTAGCATTTACACTTGTGCACATAGATACATAATGTTTTTTATTCAACATGGTATTTACTATTTAGGGTACTGATGGAGTGCACAAATCTCAAATTTTTTGATGTGTCATTTTGCTCGAAGTTGGACAGTGTATGGTATCATGAAATGAAAGCTCGTTTTCCTCTTGTTGATTTGAAAAAAAGTGTCTCTCATTAGAAGAAGTGGTTGAACGTGGGTTGAGCACCTGAATGTTGACGCCAGTCAAACACATGTCATGAAAGAAATACTCTCGATAAGACACATGCATCCATGTATGGACGACAGATATACATGTCTAGAAATAACTGACTTTGCATGTTCACACTTTCCTTTTAATTAATCTGTCCGGTGACATTTTATTTTCTTTATTAGCACTATTGCATATTTTTACCAAATCAAGAAATTGTTTGGATTCTGTTGAGAATATTTTTCATAACATACATAATTGATGCCGCGTTAATGGCTAGTTATCTTCAGACAACTGTCATTCTACCTTATTGCTATATCCGATTTTCTACATCGGTCAATGCATCATGCAAGTGAATTTTTATTAAAAGGAGAGGTGAAATAATTTTTTTTATCGAATTCCTCAAATTTTTAATATTTCAAATATCAATAAGAGCTTCTGTTTTTTTCAACTTGCTTGTAGAATCAAGTGTAAATAGTTTTTTTAAAATATTTCAGCAATGAATATTTCATTTAAACATACAGTTTTTCATATCAAGCGATAACGAATTTGGTGAATATGAATATTTGGTATATATTTTTCAAGTGCGTAGAACTGCAAGACTCGCTAACTCCTGCCTTTCAAAGTTTATGAATGGTTACAAAGTTTTCATCATCATAATGAGACAAACGTGCTTTGGGACTAAAATCGACATGTGGAAGATATGATTTCAAAATAAGTGCTCAGGAGTTTCGAGCAGTGTCATCCACTCACAGCCAGTGACTGGTTGTAGGAAGCCTGGATAGCGTTGTCCCATGGATAGCAATAATTTTCAAACTTGTAAAAAAGATGTTTACATTTATCTGACGACAAAGGAATTTTGTAATCTAGTTCGAAAGAATATTTTATTTCAGTTATTGGACAGTTCAAATCGCATATTTTTGTCTTATAAGAGATTTTTTGAACGTTCAAAAAAATTTACTATCCAACGAACAAAGCTATCCTGGATTTGTGCAACTGGCCCCTGGAGATTAACACGATTTGATAGTAATATGTAATGTTACACATAATATAAATCCTAATACGGTTTTTATATGCACATGAAAAACATGTGACTTGGACGACATTTGAACTCGCACCTTCGGGATACTAGTTGAGCTACCAAGCCCACAGGGATTGGAGACGAGTCAAATCTCTTTAAAACTACGTATGGACGAGAGATTCTCGCCACGATAGCAGTTACTGGATGGCACCGTGTTTCGACTTTCACATGTTTTTCATTTGCTTATAAAGACCGTGTTAGGATTTATATTATGTATAATCTTTGATGATGGCTTTAGAATATGTAATGTTAATGGCACATGTTTTTCAATTTGTGTATGTTAATGTAATTTTAATTGCTCGATGTAAGGAATCAAATTATGAAAGGTCGTTAAACTTTTTTATATGGTTGGTAACTTTCTCCGATTAAAAAATACTCATGACTCACGAGTCACCAGACTCACCAACAAACTTTATTCATGTGTAAAAGTGTAATCACATTAAAAGTGCATGCATGTTTGAATTGTTCAAGCGTAGTAGAATCGTGTTTATATTACCTGCTATTTGGGGAGGGGCATCAAATCTTTATTAGAAATAGCGGTGAACCCGTGAGTGAAGCATAATATAAGTCTTTTAAATCGGCCTGTAGGATGAACGTGTTAATTCGTGTACGTCAAAGACAGTGCAGCAAATTAGACATTTATTAATAAAAGTAGTCTAAAATTCTAGAGTGTCAAAAAACTGTTTGACGGGAATACGCCGATGAACGTTTTAAATCTCCAAATATTTGGCAAACGTTGTGCAACGCTGTCCAACCTTTACAACTCCCCCCTCCCCCGCAATCTTGTTTCGGCTGTCGATTGATATTTCATATATTTTATTGAATGCTTTATATATAATTTGTAGCTTAAAACTTCGATATCTGTTCACGCTTCATGTAAGTATGTCTAAAATACATAAATTAATATGCAAATACCGACCATAATATTTAATTCTACCAAAACAATTAATATGGTTGTTAACCATTCGACATTCAAAAATATGTTCACAATACCTGCTAACCTGTCTGTGGTTCAAATTGCTTCATTTGAAATGAACCAATAAAAGAATATCATTTATAGTTACGTCATCAAACATACGATCCTTTCGACTTTCGTGCGCAACTCTGCTTCCGAGGTCAACGACTCGATGTTGATAAAAGAAAATTCATTTGGATTCGTGCAATTTGCAACTTAATAGAGTCAAATTTGTGTTATAAATCTGCGAAGCAACGTTATTTTAAAACCTGTGGGTCTCCTTAATCGGCCCTGTCAGAGGATTTTGTTGATTGGGTAGGTTAAAACGAACTTTACTTAATGCGATAAAGTATATGACCTGTGGCGGACATGTACCTTGAACGTCAATGTGTTTGTATATATTCTAAATGACTAACCATTTGGTTTGGTTTTGTAGTCTGTACGTGTAATGGCTGTTGGAAAAGGTTTTCTTGCCCAGTATTCCGTATTTTGTGTATTTGGTTCGGTTGTTGGTTGTGTTGTTGTTCCCTTGATTACTCAGGTATGAAGGCAGTCAGACAAAATACTGATTTGTAGTTATAACGATAAGTGTGCGAGTGATATTGATTCAACTAAAATTCTTCCCACTTGTGGACAGTAGCAGCTGTATAATATGTTAACGTGATTTTACAACAAAGCATGAGTATTTTTCTTGCTTTGTTTTGTATTATGGAAATATTTACAATCCGACTTGTTTTAAATAGTCGATCGAAAGTGTGATTTTTTTCTGCCATCCTCATCAGTCTAACTGCCACTCATTGGAGCAGGCGAGCTGTAAACAATGATACATCCAGCAAGGTAAGAACAGAACACATAAGATAATGTATCGTTTTAATCATTGTCGATCACAAACATGAATCATCATGTCATTTTATGAATACGTAATATATCTGAAATAAATAAAAAAATACAACGACCCAAAAACTATATATCAAAAAGGCCATGGAATTTGTGATGTTTCTGTAATTTCATTTAGTAACGTAACGTTTTTAGATATCAGAAGATCAATTATTTCATCTACAATTACATGTGTAGGAAGTTTTAAGATTTACTAATTATAAACTATTTACAAGGTGTTAAATTTCAGGATATTTTAATGGTAATGGTATGGAGTATATAGGTACATTAAAGATGAAGTTAGTTAAACTGAAGTTAGAGTTAATTAAACTAAACTACCAACCTGCTTGTCTTTAAAGCTAGGATTAAGCTTGAAGCTCAGGGGACTTTGTAGATTAGTAATTAGTTGGTGTTGGATGAAGATGACAGACTTTTGGATGACATCGCAAATGGAAGAGTAGACTAGAGTTTATTATTTAAGAAATAAAGAGTAGACTAGAGTCTACTCGAAGAGTCTACTTTAAGAGTAGACTAGAGTTTATTATTTGGTAAGGCGCCAGCGTTTGAGGTGGTTTGGGCATGTGGAAAGGAGGGAAGAAAGTGCTGAAATTCGTAGAACGTTGCATATGGATGTTGATGGAGTCCGCAAACGAGGTAGACCGAGAAAGAGATGGATGGATGCTGTGAACAGTGATATGAAGGCGATGGGTATAACGAGAGATATGGCGAGAGATAGAGACGTTTGGCGTGGAAAAATTCATGGACCGGTCAACCCCCCTGGCGGGGATTAATACTGGCCGGTATACAAATGTTGTTAGTTAGTTAGTTAGACTAGAGTTTATTATTTACACTGTTTTTGGTACATTACAGATTATGTAATGTAACATAAGATCTAAGTACAACATAAGATCTCAAAACTCAGAAGCTATTAGAATAAAACCTTACCTTTGAAAGAAAGGAAAGATAAAGTGTGTGCAGATAAGCAAGAGAAAACTCAAATGTTGACAATAATTTATAGAAGTTTACGTATCGCAAAGCAATCTTGGTTGCTGACATTTGGTAAAGGAAAGCAAAGAAACTTTTTCTATAAATGTCTATAAATTGTATCACAGTGTCATATTACTCTTACATATGTTGGCAATAATGTTGATAAGGAACATTGATATACAGCATTGTACAGTATGGTGTTTTTTGGTGTGAGTAGATATGTACCAGGAGAGTTCGAACCATCTGTGAAGGACATAATCATGATTTTCATTAGAATGTGACTGTAAACTGGGAGCTTACGTAGTTTCAAACATTTTATGAATCAAATCTATGTGAAAGTTAAATGAATGAGGCATGAAACTAAAATCATTTGTATGTATATAGAAGTAGGTGATTCTGCCCTGGAAGTGACATACCCAGGGGAACATGCTCATTTCATTAAGTATAAGCACCGTATAATATAGAATTTTAGTGGCAAATAGCATTGGAACAGTTTTACTTTTATACTTTTATTCTTTACTATAAACCTGTATAATGAAAGATATATCTTCAATCATATGTACTCTTATGCTATGTCATCTACTTCTAGGCCCAAAAGCCCATGAAAATAAAATTTTTGTTTAGTAAAATATATTGCCAATCTACTTAAAATCAATTTCACTGTCTAAATAAGTGATTTTACTGACCCTGATCTAGCTACTTTTGACAGATGCATTTTCAAATCATTTCTCAGCCTCATGTTTTTCATGTGCATACAAGTATGTCAGATCTGACTGTCTTAACGTTGTACATTGTGTTAAAATGCTTGAAGAATTTCAACAAGCATCACACGGTCATTGGTTTTCATTGGCTCATTTTGTTTGGCAATCAACCTTGTCTTAAAAATTAATTTTCCACCTGATAAATCTGTCATTCCAATATTAAATACCGAATACATATTTATTAACCTTTTCTTATGTCTGGATTAATTAGCTTCACAACCAGCCATATCTTAAAGATTTGTCATTGCGGAAGGCAAAGAAGGTAGCTCAAATAGGAAAAGTCACGAAAAAGCTGTAAATCAGGTTTGTAATTGATATTGACTTAACTGCACATAGCATAATGTTACCAATACAAAGACTAACATCTTGAGTGATGGAATCATGTACACGGGAATATGAATCTGTGAATATAATGGAGTTTACATTATAAATAACACCTAATTATGTATTATGAGTTGATGCATGCAATGTCAAACATATTCAAACTTTCAAGTTTGTGTCTTGTATGAAACCTTTCAATTGCTTTTAATAGTTTACATTGGTATGCAGTTAAATCTTCCTCCAATGTTTTCTAGAGAGATAAACCAATATAATGTTTACTTTCTGGCTTGTATATTGTAAATAAACTGAAGAATAAGTCTTTTGTTTATCGTGTTTGTAGGGAGAAGTGCGAACCTATGACTATCGCCAAAGAAAGAAGAAAAGTTTAAGCGAATTGAAGAAGCTAGAAAGTTGGAGGTTTATCCCTCGTGATTTGATTTATATTCATTTTGTTATTGTCTTAAGTCCAGAGAAATGCTACATTGCATTTTTAATGAGAAATGGAACTTGCACTGATTAAAAAATACATTTTCTGTATTAAACTTAAAATCAATGATTATTTCAATATCTAGCTGTCTTGTTTCACTCCACAGCAAAGAAAACAAGAAGAAAAACGAGAAAGAAAGGCGAAGAGAAAAGAGGACAAACTAAAACAGAGGGAAGAAGAGAAAAAGATACTGGAGGTGAAGTATTTTCATCCATAAATTGCTGGTGAAAAATAAGAAGTTATGAAAATTGCTTTAAGACGTAGATGTGCTATTTTACGCGTTTGATGTTTTCATGATGTTAAATAAGTCGAATTGTTTAATGAATAGCTATGGTTTGTGCCAAAGCAGTCTTTTTTTATTTACTCAAGGAATATTTTGGTACTGTTAAGGTTATAATTACTTAAAATATGTTTTTTAAAGTGTCAACATGTTTCTGCAGGAGGAAACACGTCGGCGTAAGATTAAAGAAGACAAGAATGAGAAGGTAAGATTATCTGTAAATCGAAAATATTAATGATTGAACTGCTTGATTTAGAATATTGGTATGTCTAAAATCACTTGTAGATAAAATATATAAAAACATAAAAGTTGCTGTTACAAACTTAGTAAGAAAATAATAAACGCATTCGTCACGTGATCGCTTACATTAGACATTTAATCATAAATCATATTTTTTGTTAGACGAAGTTTAAGAAAACGCACGTTCCTCAGAAAGGCTGGACAATCGCAACCAATTCAAGAGTATCAAACACCCGTAAATGTAATCCTGTTTTAGTCAACGATTCTGTAGTTACTCCATTGAATATTATAACCGCGGGAGACGCTTTATACCGTGAGAAAGCGTCAGTAAGCCCAGATTCATGTGAAAGTAAAGCACCTAGTCCTCCACCTTCAGTATGGAAAGTACCTGAATACGTACCCCCAAGATGGAATCCTGAGAAACAAAATGATCATAAAAATATCAAGGTGCCATTTCGTTTAAACAATGATGTCATATTGGAACGGAGAAAAAGACCAACCACGCCCTTCAATCAATTATATAATCCTGTCATGTTAACTCCAAGTAAATTAAAGAATGAATTTATGAATCAACATATAAACAAAAGTTCCTTAAAAGATTCCGATCCTAATCTCCTAATTGATACCCCTGTAAAGTTCTCAGGAAAAATGGATAATCGTGATCAAGCTGCTGCATCAAGTCCATATTCAAATATTTCTGGTTTGCCAAGTTTTTTTAAATCTCCTACGGAAGGAAATGGTCGAGATTCTCCTCAGAAAACCTACTCTTTGTTTGGACCAGAGGAACCGAATCGTGTTCTTTTTCAGCCTATTTTTCAAAACAATATTCATGTTTCATAATGATGAAAATGAATATTACAGTATCTATCTTTACTTATGAATGAAGTAGCTATATGAGCAATAAATTTCTTAATGAACATCAATTTAATTGAATGTTTTATTTTCAGTGAGTAAATAAACAAAGAAAAACACATGGTTGAATTATTTTGCAATCTCCATTTGTCAGGCAGAGAAATGCGAAAGAATGAAGAAAATAGAGGCTTATTCCTGTTGACAAACTGGGTGAAAGCTTGGATTTATAGAAATCAGAACGCAAATCAGACATACAGTTTGAGTGGCATAAAATTACAAAAATGTAAAAAATTTCCCCAGTTCGTAAAAGGCATGTGAGATCACTGCAATTGACATGATTTCGAGATCACTTACAAACCGTGCCAACAATTAAGCTACTTATGTCATTGTGCTTTTTGTGTGTAGTTTTGCCTTATTTCTGTGTACAACAATAGTTTGTTCAATATGTCACGCGGGAAATTTTACGCAATTACACAACAACATCACCTAACACAGGTGTTAACAATCTTTTTAAGAGCTGATTGTACATTGTTTTAGTGAAACGCTTATATACACTGCAACTTACAGATATGTCGTTTTTTATATAAACTGGTCAGTGAACTTTCTAAAACTATTCAAAACAGCGGAACAAACCAGTAGAAATAATATTCTTTCAGAAAACTTCCAAGTTTATTATGCAGAATGCGCAGAAAATTAGCAAAGAAGAATTCAATTTGCAGCGTTTCTAACATGAATTGGCGTTTCTCAATCAAAAGAACTGAGAAAAATATAAGGATGCAATACTGATGTAAAGTTGCGGTGGAATTCAATTGGCTGAAATGCCGAGTCTGACAAACTCAATATCAGTTTTCGACTAAGGCTCAGATGGTTGACCTGAGTACTAAGCTTATTGTGAATACTTTGAAATGACTTCCAAAATGAGTCAACATATATTGTATGAAAGTCAGTAATGAAACAACACTTTGTAAATGAATGGCAGCAAATACCGAACCATATCAACTATTCCTACTTTTCTCTCTAAGGAAGTCCCCTTTTTTGGTAGTTTAGCGATTATAGATTGCAATATATGTATACTTTTGTAAAATGTATGTTGCATACTAGATGTACAATACAGTAAAAAAACGAAAGAAAACTAGAACGGGAATCATTTAATTTTTTGATTTACTAGAGGAGAACGTACAAAAGGAATTATTCTTGTGGTGGAGGAACCTCTTTAATAACAATACGAGAAACTGAATTCCATCCACTGTATGCATCTGCGTTACCAAAACCTGCACAATTGCCGACCCGGAATCCAACTTGCACTTTTCCTTTATGAATTTTGTTACAATATCCTTCAATGTGACGATGTCGATGGATATCTTGTGACTTTCCACGGTTCAAGTAAAGAACTCCATCAATAGGAAGAGGGTTTTTACATTCAACTCCATTGAAAGTAAAATACCAACGTTTGCAACAACCATTGCACGCTTGAATTCGCAAACTTCCTCCATAAAACACTTGAAGGGAAGTGTTGTCAAACTTTTTTGTGAATACACAATTCTAAAATGAAATTAAATCATTGCTAAAACGATATGTAATGTATTCATAACAAAAGAAATATTTCATATACTTGTTGCACCTGAATTAATCCATCATCTTTACCATCGCCTCTTTTCCAAGCACATTGTTTCCAGCTTGAAAAGCTCATGTCATTTTTCAACGGAGGACCAGGATTACCTCGTTCACCTTTTTCTCCTTTAGATCCTACGTCTCCTTTTAAACCGTCTCGTCCGGCTGCTCCAGGTACACCGGGAACTCCTGGAACCCCGGGAATTCCACAGCTTGCTGAACATTGAGCCTTGAAAACGGTAGAGAAAAATGTTCTTACCTAAACAGTGAAGGTTCTATAAATATGGAATTGTGGCTCAAGTTCAATATGGTTGAAGGAATAATAACAGCTTCTTTCTATTGCGTTGAAGTTGCTCCGGTCCTAATGTATTTCTCAACGGATAATATGATCTTGTTTTTGTAAATTTCTTTGAGATGTTCCGAGTTGAACAACGCCCTTTTCCACCTTAATTCACATGAATCTATTTGCTGGGCGCTTATACAAAAGAGTTTGCAAATTATAATTTTAATACTCAAGAAGTATAAAAAAACTACACGAACAAAGTTTCTCGCGACCTTAAAAAAAGACTATTGCGTTAAAATATGCATTTGATTCTTGAACCGAAATTTTAACTTAAACCATTTCACAAAGTTAATGCTTCCAAACCTTTGAGTTCTTTTTCTTAAACGATGCACTGACTGTATTTGATAGCAACAACATGGATACCATGATAAGATTCATCTTCACTTTTATCATTTTCCCACCTCAGTTTACTTCTTTAAGTGCTCATCAATTAATTGTTTTGCTTGTAATGAAGAGCTAACTTTAGTCCTCTGTTTTAAGTATTTGCAATAAAACGGCTTCATTTCCGTTTCAGCAAATATTGTTTTTGATAATGGAGAAATGAGTAGAGTAGCCACGTAATCTCTAAGCAAATTCATGATTATGATGGTAATGTACAATTGTTTGCTTAAAATTTGCAGTTGAATATGAATGGATTATGAATAATTAGCATAAAATGAGCATAAAATCCTTTTTTGGATGTTTATTAAACCAAAAATTTCTTCGATTCATACTGACTCACATCTACAATGGTTAACGAGTGCATAAAAACAAGAGAAATAGATATTGTAAAATTATTTTAATTTGTTTTGCTTTAATTGAATCATTGATTACTTCGAAAAGAAGTTCCATGCAAGTTATAGCGTCATTTTTATGATTCGGATAAATATCTTGCATTTTTTTTCTGTAGCACCAGCGATTCTCAAATCAAAAGCCCCAACAGGTTGCTGAGTATTGGCTCTTAACAAGAAGTATAAAGCATTTTAGCTAGACATATGTTTGACCATGAAAGTTGTTAAATGCACGATCTTCAATCAAAACTTTATTTTTATGTAAATGACACTCTCCTTTATATGATCTAGATAATGCACTTTAAATATCAGGTGCATTACAGAATAATAATTAGCACCACTCAACCACATATAATCCAGTTCTTCTAACACCGAATTAATAAAACAACACTAAAGTAAATTTTAATCATTGCTACTGCACGTTCTTAATCTATTGACAGTAAGTTTACTTTTACTTTGCAATCCGTGTGAGTTACATGCACGTGTGACACTTAAAAAAGACAATTGTGATTGGTTTAGGACATCGTGCAGATCACGCGTGTTTTTTGCTAATTAGCGAAATGATTGGTTTAGGTTTCGGTGGAACTATGATATGTTGAACTGTCATTAATAGAGTCACTCATTATAGTCTAGAGGAGAAGTAAGTACGTAGCATAATATTTCACTCTCTTCACTTTATTTTTGTCTGACCTGGTAGTTGTACTTTTCGTAATGCTACAGATTTATAAGCCACTATAGCTTTCAGGTTTGGAATTGTTTAGGAAGTTGAACGGTAGATTGTAGAAGTTCATTTAATAGGGAGGAATGATTAATTTTAAATCCTGCTAGAAGCAACTGCTATAAAATGAAATTTTTGCAGCTTCGACTGATAAGTAATTGATCATTTTGTAAATATCTTAAGTTCTTTGTTATTAACTAAAATTTTTTTTCATTGTTTATAAGCTATTCTGCAAGCGTAACTGCTTCAATTGATGGTCTACAAAACCTTCGATATCTCTATGATGCCAAGTTGAAAACTGCCAAAACAGTAAAACATCCATGATAAAATTTGATAAAACATGTTTTGTATGGCATTGATTCGTGATTGATGGTAAACAGCGCGGATTCTTTATAAGTATGCAAGCATAAACGTCTATATATGAAGTTAGTTGACATTCTTGTGCGCATTATGTACACATCACTGATTCGACTTCGTTTGCATTTCTGTAAAAGTGCCATGATGTAATATACAAACCTTCACAGTGTTATCTTTTTGGTTTTTATCTTGTGCTATCAAGAACACTTTGTCCTTATTATCATGCACGTACTATGAGACAAAATTTCTTTATAGTTTAAATGTTATGATAAATACTGTTACAATAGTGCAATGACAAAATTTTGAATTATTTCTATTAGGCAGAAATATTTTCCTTATTTAGCTAAGTTTTGCGTCATTCAGTATAGAAAATATAGGTTTTACTTATCTTTATACAATAAAAAAAACTTCACATCTCCTTCAGCAAAAATATTTTAATCGCAGGTGTACTTCAAATTAAAGTAAATTTATGCCACGTAATAATAAATCTTTGTTCTTACATCTAATAACGTGTCTTCTGATATAAATAGTCAAAATTAATAACTGTCTACTTTGCATAACAGGAGAGAATGTTATCGCACTGTCAAATCTTTCTTTAGAAGATTCTATTTATTGTTATGCAAAGTCGAAAAATTGCTAAATTGATTTTCTATGTTGTCTACCACTGGAATGACGGCGTCAACATTAAGATTACTCCTTAAAAGTAGAAAATGTTTACAGTAAGAAACATGATTTTTTTTCAGTTGTACTTGAGTCACTTGTATGACTTGTATCTCTACCTCACAATTACAGTGTCACAAAAATCTCAAAAATTTATCATAAATAGCCAGTTAATCATGGAAGTCACAAGTTACGATTTTAAGACTTACTTATTTGTAAGTTAAACGACTACTCTGATATTTGCTAATTTCGCTATTTTCACCAACACAATAGCACCATCTCCGCAATACAATGTGCTCAAACTTTAATCGCTATAATTTTCTTTTAAAGCTATTACGAAGAATACCTGTAGTACACTGATAAAGGTTTGGATGACGAGTATCTAGACTGATGACACAAATCTTAAGAAATTGATCAAGTTTTCCAATGACAAATTAATATCAATTACTAAAATTTGAATGAAGTTTGTGTACAATAGAAAGAGCAATGATAGTCAAGCAGAAAATATCAAACTAGGAAAAAATACCAACATTGAGCGTGGTAGGGATGATTTCGCTACATATATTAATACGGAACATAAACTCTAAATGATTGAAATGAAATTCGCATTTT